GCTACATTCAGTGCAGCAAGAACAGTACATGCAAAGGCCCTGAGGCTGGAATATATGTGGTACATCTAAGGAACCTTGACCAGAACTCAGTAAGCAAAAGGGAGAGTAGTAACAGATGATGTCCAGGAAGTAGCGAGGGGACCAAATGATGTAGACCACAGTTAGGGCTTTGGGATTTATTCAGAGTGTAATGGGAAACCATTGGAAGGCATTAAGTAGGAAAGTAATGGGATCAGCTTCATATTTCAAAGAAATAGCCCTGACCTGTTTGGCTCAGCGGTGAGAGCATTGGCCCATGGACCAGAGAGTCCCGGGTTAGGTTCCCGCTAAGGGCATGTACCTCGGTTGCAGTTTGTCCCTGGCCCCAGTTGAGGTCGTGTGGGTGGCAACCACTCGATGTGTCTCTCTCACATCGATGTTTCTCTCCCTCTCTTCCTCCCTTTTTCCCTCCCGCTCTCTCTGAATATAAATGCAAAAATGTCCTTGGGTGAGGAAAAAAAAAAGGAAAAAGTAGTAATTAATAAAGAGTAATGATCACGCAGTATCCACTTTAAGCAATAAGTCATCACAGACACAATTGAAGGTCGTGTCCACCTCCCCCTCTCCCATAAAGGATGCAGTCACTATTCTGAATTTGCTTTTTTTTTCTTATGTGTTACCTTTACTTCATTTATGCCACCTCAAAATTATATATGTGACAATTATGTTGTTACTGTTCAACATTTTATATTATTGTTCTGTACATTTTTTCTGCCACTTGCTCTGTTGCTCAGCATCAAGCTCATGACCTTCTAACATGTGGACATGTGCAGTTCTGGTTCATTCATTCTTCACTACTGCCTGGTTTGATTGTTTTACTTTAGCATCCTATTGACAACAGTAGGTTGCTTCCCACGTTTTTCAGTCGCAAGTAATGCTGAAGTTTCTTAGTCACACGTGCAAGTCTCTGTAAGGTAGATACCTAGAGGTGGAGTTTCTAGGTCATGTGGTCTGCAGTCCTGACAGCAGATGGAGACCGCGCCACAGCCTCAGCAGTATTCAGTGTGTCAGACTGGAGAGTTTCTGCCAATGTGGGGGTGTGAGATTTTACCTCATTGTGGTTTTAATTTTCATTGCCTTAATTACCAGTGAGATTGATCTTTTCATTTATTTATTGATCATTCCCACTTCTCCTGTAAAGTGTCAGTTCATCCCTTTTTACGATTCTTTTTCTTGAGTTGCTAGTCCTTTTCTTATTATTTTTAAGGATTTCTTTAGATAGTCTGGATTCACTTATTCAGCACCTTAATGGGCTAGATACTGTTCTTAGATACTTGGAGTTTACTGTGAAAAAAACTCCCCATGGAGTTTCTATCTTCCTAGTGAATACACATTTTTCTAGTCCCAGAATTTCCTGAAAACTGCTCATTGTAGCCAAAGGCTTAATTAGATTCAAGTTACCAAAAACGGTTTCTTTTGCCACTAGTGTCCATTGACAGTGCTGTGTACTCCAACAGGCCCAGTGTCCACTCTTCCACATCTGAGATGTGAGCACTGCTCAGTGTCTCTAACGGTGGTCAGCCCTTTCATTCCATTTCATGAGGACCCCATCAACCTTCCATCCACCGGTGTTCGGAACCAATCACAGTCATCACCCGGGTCCATTATTTCACTTAGGTTGCAAAATGATTCCTTTGAATTTATTAGCTAGAATTGCTTTAAGAAGAACTTTTATTCTCAAACTCAGTGGGTGGAATGGCCACGCACCCCCCTAAAAGATATGTCCACCCAGAAACTGTGAATGTGAACTTATGGGAAAAAAGGATCTTTGAAGATGTAATTAAGTTAAGGATTTTGAGATGAGATTGTCCTGGATTTTCCAGGTGAACCCTAAATTCAATGACAAGCATTATAAGAAAAAGACAGAGGGGCACAGACACAGAGAAGAGGAGGTGATGTGAAGGTGGATGCAGAGATTGGCGTGATGCAGCCACAAGCCAAGGACTCCTGGGGCCGCCAGAAGCTGGAGGAGGCAAGGAAGGATTCTGTCCTCAAGGCCTTGGATGGAGCTGGGCCCTGCCAACACCTTGATTCAGACTCAGGGTTTCCAGAACTGTGAAAATATATATATTTCTCTGTTTTTAAGTCACACAGTTTTGGGGCATTTGTTATGGCAGCTACAGGAAACTAATACAACCAACTGTGAGATTCCTTTGAAATATAATTTGGACAGAAAAGGCAGGACAAACATTTGATTCTCCCCCTCAATTTGAAAATCTACAGAACAGTAAGTGATTTCCCTAGCAACCTCCAAAGTTGACTGATGAATTTTAAGTACCATTATGAGCTCATGTGTTTCTGTCTATTTAATATGTTTCAATCCATTACATTTAGTCTTCTTTTCCTGATAGTATTCTTTTCCATGCTTAAATGGTGCTAGGAGCCCCTTCAAGATGGCCCCGGTGTCTTCTGGGAGTGACTCCAGTCATCTTAGATTTCTTGTTTTCTGTCCTGAGAAGCTGTCCCAGGCTCATCTGTACATCCTTGCCCCAGATCTGAAACAGCCATTTCTCCTTTTTTGTATTTAGATCTCTTTTTCTTTTAGGCTGAAAATCTTGCTACTAAGGACATAAACGCAATTTATGTATATGTAGTAATATAGTAATTACACACACACATAGCTTCCAGATGATGACACCAGTATTATTGCTGATGATCCTGAGTATTGTTTGGGAATTCTTTGCAGTTCTTGTCCTTAGGAGATATCCCACTAGGTAAGATAGTAAATACACTGTGTTTAAAATAACTTAGAAAAATTCTTCTGTGTTTGTGCTACTAACTCAACGTTCAATTGTTCAGTCATTTTACTACTTTTATATTTTAAGTTAAGTGTTAAGGATTTTAAATAATATTTTTCATTTAATTTTGTTTTATTGTGTAAAACCCAAGGTTCCAAAGTTAAAATACCAAACAGGATGCGTCAAGAAAAGTCCACCTTCCAGCCCCATCGCCTTTCTCCTGCCTCTTTTGGGTTCTTTTTCCTTTGTTTTCAGGCACTTTATAGGCACATGTAATCCTCTTTGTTTACGTCTTTGTTTACTTTCTTTTTTTTTTTTTTTATCCTCACCCGAGGACATTTTTTGTTCAGGTAGAGTGGGAGGGAGAGAGAGGAAGAGAGAGAGAGAGAGAAACATCGATGTGAAAGGGACACATCGAGTGGCTGCCACCTGCACGACCGACCAGGGCCGGGGACAAACTGCAACCAAGGTACATGCCCTTAGCGGGAACCGAACCCGGGTCTCTCAGGACCGCAGGCTGATGCTCTAACCGCTGAGCCAAATCGGCCAGGGCTACTTTCTTTATTTTTAAATCCTCACCTTAGGATATTTTTCCATTTATCTTCAGATGGGGGTGTGGGGAAAAACATCGATGTGAGCTCTCTCACATTGTCTGGTTGCCTCCTGCATGACCACAACCAGGGCCAGGAATGAACCACAACCAAGGTATGTGCCCTTGACTGGAATCGAACCCCAGACTCTTTGGTCTGCTACCAAAACCCTGCAGTAGCTGGACATCACCCGTACAGGAGAAAAGCCACACCCCCTTTAGTGGCACAGAAGGTACCAGTGCTACCTGGCCTCCCCCCACTACAGCCCCCCTTTCCCAGCTAGCTGCCTTGCACCTGGTCCTCTAGCCATACCTAGCTACTCTCACTTCCTTGTGTATTCCCATGGCAGGTGCTATGCCCTGGGCCTGTAGAGCCCCTGCCCCCCCCCCCCCCCAATCTCCTCCCATACCTCCTGCACTTGGCTCACCAGGTGACCTCCTTTGCAGCCTTCCAAAACCAGGCCAAGCACCAGCCCCTCTGTGGAGGCTTTGAACAGTTGTTCTTCCCATGGTAGGGTATTGGTTTTTTAAATATATGTCCTGCTCACTGGACTTGAGCTCCAAGTGTAGGTAGGAGCCATCCCCCCAACACCCCAGTACTTAGCCTCACATCTGGCACATAGCAGGTGCTTTACAAAGCTTGTTGGAAAGATGAAAAGGAAGGCTTTTGTAGCTAAAATAACTTGGCTACAAGAGAGTTGGGTTCAAATCCTGACTTTATCGTCTACTACCTGGGAGATCTTGGGCAGGTCACCTGGCCAATTCGCCTCTTGGTTTCTTTTTCTGTAAACAGGATAATGCAGCCTCACGAAGGACGTGATGAATAACAACAGCAAAGAGCAGAGATGGGAATAACAGCAAGGACAGGGATTCAGGAGGAGGAGGGCGAGCTCACTCAGAGACCAGGAGGAAGTTGAAGAGTGGGTGAGGATGGGGCCTCAGCGAGGTGCCCCTAACTGACCAGTGAAACAGTGACCACTCTGCTGGGCACATCTCAGCCTTGTCTTATTTAATCAGCCACAGCTCTAAAAGAGAGGTTATTTTATTAGCCCACATGACTAGTAAGTGGTAAAACTAGCCTTGAACCTGATCTAGTGACAGCAAGGCAGACACCATCACACTAACAGGGCCAGCCACTCCACTCCCTCCACTCCTCTTGCTTCTCGCTCGCTCTCAGGTGTGGTCACTGCTCCAGACCTCCCTACTGACAGCCCCAGGTACAAATCTCTCCTTTTTCTGAATCTTGGTCCTGGAAATCCCTCCCAGCTTGATCTCTGTCACATCACCTGATCCCTCAGGGTAGGAAAAGGAAGGGATATTTGAAGTGTTATACAAAGGAAAAGAGAAATTTTCCAATGACAGATTTCCCAAGTTATTTATTACATCTAAATGCTACAGGGAGGTTTATAATTTAGAAAGATCAAAGTGCATGATTTGACAGGAAGGTAGTCAGACCTTTACATTTCTATTCCAATCCATTTCCGTTGGTGGTGTCTACCTGAAATTCCTTCTTATACATTTCAACCATCTCATGTCCTTTTGCGGAGGACGATTTCCACTGTATTAATCAGAAATTCATTGGGTGCTTCAAGGGGAGTGGCGCGATCAGACCAACAGGAGTCCTTGGAGCTGGGAATGGGGGTACTAAAAAACTCATTATTAGCATTTTCTCTTCGCTTTCTTCTGTTCAACATGTCTTCTCAAGTAATCAAGGTTACTATCGATCTTGCGTAGGTAAGCCTGGAGCTCAGCGTCTAGAATATGTTCTATAAAAAGAAGAGTTCATGGAAAGAGGTCAAAACTCAGGACATGCTCATGAAAATAGAGTACATGGGACAGCCAGATACCCTTCCCTACACGTGAGTTCAAGGGAAGTGTGTGTGACTCCTCAGAATGCTCATGTGTCCCTCTGATTGGCTTGCAGCATCTTCACTGCATCTGAATTTAGGCTTGCAAGCTGCCAAAATCCAGGGGGTGGCATGAAGGTGGTTCTATGCTTGCGCCTTACTTTCTCGTGTGATGCCCAGTAACCCTTCCTTACCTTAGGGTACATAGGTGCTTTCTAATAAATAAATTGCCAGAGGTCTGTATTTGGCCATTGTCTTATTTTTGGAACTGACCTTGGTTTCTCATGTCATTCCTCGTTGACAGGTTGGTCATATTATAGAACTATGAGATACCTTGTGGGTCACCCAACCGCCTTGACTGGGGACAGTCACTGCTACATGGAAGTCTGGGCCTGAGGGCAGGTGGAGGGGGTGATGCCAGTTCTCTGTTCTCTCATCAGCAAAGGCAAACCATCATTCAGATCCTTCCACTGGGCTGTGGGAAGAAGCCTTCTTACTGTCTACTGGGAGTTACAGTAATAACCCTAAGCAATGAGTCTCAGAAGGGCCACAGTGGACCTACAGGCAAACAGAGACATGGAGCACTGTGGTCTAAGAGGTACCGGTAGCCCTGGCCAGTTTGGCTCAACAGTTAGAGCTTCAGCCCATGGATGAGTCACGGGTTCAATTCCAGTCATGGGCATGTGCCTCAGTTGCGGTTTGTGTCCGGCCTTGGTCAGGGTCGTGCGGGAGGTGGCCATTTAATGTGTCCCTCTCACGTCGATGGTTATTTCTCTCTCCCTCTCTTTCTCTCCCCTCCCTCCCACTCTATCTGAAGAAAAATGGAAAAATATCCTCAGGTGAGGATTTAAAAAGAGATACTAGTATCTGGAACATCTGTGTTCCTTCATGAGGGTATATTGGCGTGACACCCCACCCCCTGCCAAGTAGACAAAGCATTTGAGATGTGGCATATGGTAAACTGTATAACCTGTGCCTGGTGCAAGAATAGTGTATCCCTGGCCAGGTGGCTCTGTTGGAGCAGAGTCCCTTACACCAAAAGGTTGCAGGTTCGATTCCCAGTCAGGACATATACCTAGGTTGTGGATTTAATCCCTGGTCAGGGCACGCACAGGAGGCAACCTATCAGTGTTTCTCTCTCACGTTGTTTTTCTCTCTCTCCCTTTTCCTCTCCCTCTAAAATCAATAAAAACATATCCTCAGGTGAGGACTAAAAAAAAAGAATAGTGTAAATTTTTATTTGGGGAAACAGGGGATCACAGCAAAATTAGAACAAGGAGGCAGATTGAGTCTAAGCTCCCTTTGGCTAGTCTGCTAGCAACTGGACCTGTTCAGGAAGATGCCACCATTTTGAAAGAGGAATCGTTACTGTTAACATCTATAGTATAGATAGTCTATAGTATAGATGAGGGACTATAATTATAGCTGGTATTGTTATTTTCTTTCTTAGTATTGCATTGGAGAAGCAAACCGATGTGAGGGAAGTTGATAAATAAACCAGGAAGGAGAGATGGGGAGAAAAGCACATGGGCCTTTATCTGAGGGGAGGGGTAATGTATAGAGATTCAAAAATCTTAAAAGAGACATGTAAAGTGAGGTAACATTGATTAGAGACCGATTCCATTGTGTTAGAAGACATAAAGGTGTCAGGAGTGGTAAACAGAAGTGGACTGTAGAGAAGCAGACAAAAAATAAAGATGGGAGAATTGTAGAACATTTATATTCTTACAACCACAGAAATGAGGTGAGCCAAGAACACAGTTGGCGCCTGACCCAGTGGATTAGCGATTCCAGGGGAATCGGACTGCCTGTACCTACTACATGCAGCATCCTGGTGTCAGCTTGATCCCCAAGAAAATGTGGCTAACAATATGCGGTCTGGTTAACCCTACCTTGAAGGAATGCAAAGGAGGAGTTGAGATGGGCCTGGGCTACAGACCAAGATAGAGGTGTGTGGGAAATAACTTAGGTTGGGTTATATAAGGGTAACCTGAGCCTACACTCCTGTGGGAGTGTCTGGATATTGCTGACATCTTACTCCTCCTGCTATCTTTGGCCAAGGCCAGGTACATAGTAAATCATACAGTCGGTCACCCATCCTCATTAACTCCTCTGTTCTACTCACAGGCGTCACAGCCTGGACTGGGAAAATGAGTCATCCCTTTGCCAAGCCCTGTACAAATTGAGCCTCCTGCTGCTTAGATGACTCTCTTTCCCTTTCTGTTGCCAGAAGAGGTAGGTCCACCAAAGAAGGAAGAAAATGGGAGTCAACAAATTGCAAAGAATAAGTAAGAGTCTTACGACGATTACGGTGATACATGAAGTTGGCTTCCACCACTCTGTCGTTCAGGGGCTGTGTCCTGCGGTAATCATTGCGGATGGTCTTGTTCCGGTGATCCAATAAGGAATTCTCTAGCTTCCAAATCTGCAGGCAACAGGAAATGAATTATGGAGAGAAAGAGACACTGGGTGATTTAAAAGTTTAGTTGGAAATTTAACTAGATCTTGGGTTTAGAGGAGGTTCTGGGTGTACCATATGTCAGGCACAGGATATTCATCCATTTATTTTTCCAAACATTTCTTTCTAATCGTTTTCTATGAGTATTTGGTCAACAGTAGAAAGGAGAGAAAGAAGTAAACAGAGACATATCAAGTAGCAAGCTCAATTTTTCTTTTTTCTGATATCTGTATTTTGTCTACATCCTTGAAAGGCATTCTTACTGCATGTGTACTCCTAGACCAGCTATTTATTTCTCTTGGTGCTTTGAAAATATTATTTCACTGCTTTTTGACTTTCACTGTTGCTATGTTGAATCAACTCTCAGTATAATTGTGCCCTTTTCATGATCACCTGGCTTTTCTCTCTGATTTTTAAAATTTTTTCTTTGTCTTTGATATTTTGTGGTTTCACTGTGATATGTTTAATGAGTAGTTTTTTAAAAATCTACATTGACTCATTGGGCTTACTGAATATATGACTTTGTGTCTCTCAGCTCTTCTGAAAACTTGTCAGCCAATATTTCTCAAGTTGTATCTCTTCTCTATGCAATGACTCTTCTCCTAGAGCTTCAACCAGATATTTGTTAGATCTTTTCACTATATTCTGTCTCTTTACTTCTTTTTCACATTTCCATCTCTTTTTAACTTTGTGCTTCATTTTAGATAATTTTCTCAGTTCTGTGTTTCAGTTTACTGATTCTTTCTTGAACTGTGTCAAAAATGCTATTAAATCCATTCATTGTGTTGTTAAGTTACTATCTTTTCATTTCTGGAAATTCTATTTGGGTGTGTTTTTTTCAGGTCTACTTGGTCATTTTTAAACTATTTTGTTCTTATCTCAAATTTAAAACTCATATTAAATATACTGAATATGTATATATTATGCATTTTACATATATGCTAACATTCTTATTCTATATTGTTTGATAATTTTGCTGTCTGAAATCTTTGTAGGTCTCTTTCTGTTGACACTCACTCATAGTGTCTTTTCCATGTGTATTTTTTTAAAATATTTTTAATTGAGCTCATTTTAGATAACTTTGTGGAAATTCTGCAGTATATGGATTTAAGGTGCACTTTTCCAGAGATAACTTACATTTGCTTCTATTAGATATCTGAGGCACTTCCAACCTGGTTGGCAACATTTGTGTATGTGGGTACCCTTGAATAAGCCTTTCCACCTTTTTCTGGAGTAGGGAGATGAAAAGTTTAGGAAAAAGAAATATTCTTTCCTGTGGAAGAATATCACCCAAAAGGAAATGTCACCTTTGTTTTGTAACCTCAGTTCATCTGTCCTTTATTTAACTCAACAAGTATTTTTGTGCCTCTGCTATGCTGGAGGACAAAAGACTACTGATACGGCTCTCCTCCTCAGAAGGCTCCAGGTCCTGTAGCATAGTAAGACCTGAAGTGAAGCTGTCCAGCTTGCACAAAGCCTTTCATGAAGTTAGAATATCAGCTCCGCGAGGACAGGGATTCTGTGTCTCAAGGGCCTAGGACAGGGCCTCAGAGCAACACTCAGTGGATACTGTCCTTCACTAGGCAACGCTTCTCCCCCGACCTGGACCAGGCTCCTCCTGTCCTTTTGCTGTATCGACTGTGGTTCCTTGGATTCGCGATGCCTGCTGCCCACCTCTGCCACAGCACTGGTAAGACCACCCATGGCAATGTAGGCGAGGCACAGCAGCCCTGTACACAGAAACACCGTGGGGCCCAGGTGTCGGCACTATGGGAGACTGAGGGGAGCACTCTTGTTAGCCAGGCATTCGGAAGGGGAGGCTTTGGTGAAGTGATGCCACACATTACCTGTGCCTTGGAGAGCAGGACAGAATCCGCCAGCAGAAACCACTGGACGTTCTCAGTACAGGGAGGAGTGGTGAGTGAGCCCTGGTAGCTGTAGTAGTAGCGGAGGTTTTCGGGCAGCATGTCCTGAATGTCAAGGCCCCTCAGAACTGTGCTTTGTCCTACCGGAAGGGACCACAGATAAAGAAATATAGAGACTGCTGCTGCCCCTTGGGCGGACAGCTCAGGCGGACCTCACCATATCTCCTGATCTAACCAGAACATGGAAGCTAATTATTGGGAACCATTTCCCCAGTTTTCTGCTTCCTGGAAGGGGTGAAGAGCAAGGACTTTGAGGAGAGACCCGCTCAGCTACCTCCTCCTGGCTGAGTGCCCCGGCTGGGTGCTCAGTCCTGTGTTGCTCTGAGGGTAAAGAGGAACGTGTTTATCAGGTGCTGGCATGGAACCAGCATACAGGAAGGTACTCATGAGTGTAGCTGTCATTGTCGTCGTCACTGTTCGGCCGAGGATAAATGAAAACAATCAACAATGACTCCTAGTGGCTTCTGGGTAAGTGTCCTCAAAGAAGGAACAAAATTCCTTGGTTTGGACTCATTTAGAATTGGGTAGATAGAGATTAGAAAGGCAGAATTAGAACCAAGCATGGGGGTCCAGGCTCAGCCACAGGTGGGGTGTAGGAGAGGGATTCTGCAGGGGGTCTGAAGTCTCCATAGCACCCACACCCATTGCTGCATCTGGAGATTTCTCCTGTTGTTCACATCAGTCTGAGCTCAGCATGAAACTATCAGAGCAACATGGAGTTGAGTTGAATTTCACTTCACTTTCACTGAGCACTTTTGCATTTGATACATACATAAATAGGCTTGTTTAACCAAAGCCATGAAGTCTAATAGTGTATAAACCCATGAGTAAGCAGAAGATTTCTGATTTTTTGTTACTGGAAAGATTTCAAGATATAACTTCTTGAAGGGCTCTATCGCATAGATTTAGTTTTATAACTCTAATATATTTAAGTGAGTTAAGAACTTCAGAGACTGCCCTGGCTGGTTTGGCTCAGCAGTTAGAGTGTTGGCCTGTGGTCTGGAGAGACCCAGGTTCGTTTCCCACTAGGGGTACATACCTCGATTGCAATTTGTCCCCAGCCCTGATTGGGTTGTGTGGGTGGCAAGCACTCGATGTGTCCCTTTCACGTCGATGTTTCTCGCTCCCTCCCTCCCTCCCACTCTTTCTGAACAAAATATCAAAAAATGTCCTCGGGTGAGGATAATAAAAAAAAAAACTTCAGAGACACTGTGGAAAAGAATATGGCTGTTCCTTTAAAAATTAAACAGAATTACCTTATAATCCAGTAATTCCACTTCTGGGTATATACACAAAAAGAGGTAAAAACCATAGGGTTTGGTTTGGGTGTGGGAGCAATGAAAAGAAGAAAACCAAGAATGAGTCCAGGCCCTGGCCCGTGTGGCTCAGTTGGTTGGTGTCGTCCTGGGCACCCAAAGGTTGCCGGTTCCATTCCCGGTTAGGGCACGTGCCCCAGTTGTGGGCTCAGCCCACGGTAGGGGATGTCCAGTCAGTGTTCATTCTCGCATCAGTGTTTCTCCCTGTCCCTTTCCCTTCCTGTCTCTCTAAACAATAAAAATATCTAAGAAAGAAAAAAAACATGATCCCCGGATCGGGGCATAAACAATGGATAGATGATGAGGTTCTTTGCTGAGATGAGAAAGTGAGTTTAGAAAGAACCCTGGAAAGAGATGGGAATACAGAATTATGTTTGAGCTATGTTGAGTGTTCAGTCTATATGGCAATATCAAACAGGTGGATAAAGGATGGGAGTTCAGAAAGAGGGCAGTATTGATCAGAAGCAGAATTTATTGAATTGGAGAAGGAACTCTATCAGTTAGTAGAAATTGAACATCTGAGGTCAGTGAATTCAAGGAAACTCCGCTATACCATAGGCCTGTGCTTTCTCCTGCTTGCTTTGTTCATGGCCCACAAATTAGCCAGATGGTTCTTGTGTCCACTTTGCCTCGCCTGGCCTGCCTGATACCACCACTGTGTGGGGGACCAGATACAGATTTTTGGAAGCCACAGACTAGAAATGGCAATTCAGGTCGTAGGACTGGATGGAGTTGCAAGGAAAGACAGAGTTGAGAACACTCCAACATTAGAGCAGAAGCCAGAAACAGAGAGCAGAGCCAGGGTGTGGGGGTGGGGTGTGGCCAGAATGAGAGCCAAGAGTAATGGATCATTGTTTAAAGGTTAAGAGAAGAGGAGAAAACTGGCCAGTAGATATGAAAGCAGGGGGCACCTGGAAGGGTCCATGGAGAGGTGGGGCCAGCTTAGGGTGGGTGGGGAAAGGGAACAGGAGGGACCATTACACAACTCTTTCAGGGGACTTGGAAATGGTTTGGAAGCTGGGGGAATGGCAGGGTCCAGAGATACTTTTATTTGTTTGTGTTTTGAGGTGGAAGGTATTGGAGCAGAACTGTTTGCTGAGCAGAATGATCCACGGCAGGGTAAGAAATTGATGCAGGGGAGCGGGATGGAGAAAAGGCCCTGGAGTGAGGGGTGTTGGACAGGATCCTGGACTTTCCTCCATTGTAATGGGTGGGGACATGGAGTTTGGTCAGGTGCAGGCAGGTAAAGAAGATGAGTCTGCCTGGCTGGTGTGGCTCAGTGGATGAGCATCTTCCTGGCACCAGAGTCATCGGTTTGATTCCTGGTCAGGGCACGTGGCCTGGGTTGCCAGCTCGATCCCCAGTAGGGCGTGAGCAGGAGGCAGTGAATTGATGATGCTTCTCTCTCTCATTGATATTTCTCTCTCTCCTTCTCCATTTCTCTCTCTAAAAAAATCAGTAAAAACATTTTTAAAAGGTGGCTTCTTCTCAGTGAAGAGGCAAGGCATCCACTCCAAGGAGCAGCTGAGACAGGGCAGAGGGGCTTTGGGAGAGAAGAGAAACCGTGAGTGTTAATTCTGGAGACGGGTAAAGCAAATGCCCAGAGTAGTAGTTTAAGATTTCTGGGCAGTATTAATACCTGTTCACATTTGTAGCTATCAGTGAAAATAGTACCAGTCCAATGCCTGTGCTTCTGTTCAGCCACCTTCAGCCATTTGGCTACAGGCTGGAAGCTGGTCAGGGGCTTTGGCAGGTGAGCTTGTGGAGGGTGGAGGGGCGAGGGCGTGGGGGGTGCTTGCCTGGGCCCGTCAGAATGATGGCCGGTGGCATCTGAGCCAGGTAAAGAGAGATGAAAGGCATCAGGCGTGGCTCGTAGTGAGAACGTGGAGGCCCATAGATTGGGGGTCAGGAGACTTGCGGAAGGGCGGGAACGGGAGTCAGGGAACTGGAGTCCGGGAGATGCGGCCAAAGTGAGATACAAGAAGCCAGATGGTGATTGCTCAAGGGTAAGAGTTGACCCTGAGAGTGGGTGATCCCTCTGACAAGAACTGGCCTTCTGGAGGCAGAGAGAAGGAAGACCAGCCCCTGTGTCTGTGTGTCCAGGCACAACGATGGGGGGCTTCAGTCCTGAGATTCTTCTCAGCTTGACACTGAGGGAGACTCCCCTCTCTAGGGACCAGGTCAGAGGTGAGAGTCACTTAAGTAAAGATAACACTGGCCATCCAGAATCCGAATCGACGGGTAGTTGATGAACAGCTTTCTCAGAGGGATTCAAGGTCTGAGCCAACAGAAGGAACTGCCAGAAAAAAAGCCTCGCACTGGGCGTGTCCGCAGCCCTGGCAGGGCTCATCTGCCACCTGCCCGCCAGCACCACCCTTCCCTGCCCCTTGCCCCCACCTTACACTCATTCTTCCCTCCTTCGGTCACTGTTGGCTTCCCTTACCTGCATGCCTGATGTTCATCAAGTGAGAAATGAAGTTGCTATAGTAAGTGTTTTCGGCATAGTCCTTGACCTGCAGGAGAGACACAGAGCAGAAAGCTAAGGGGGAAGAGCCTGCCTCCCTGTCCCCCTGATCCACCTGTTGGATTCTGGCTGATTGGGCAGAGCCGCGAGGGCTTGGGGAGGCAGCCATCTGTGCCCCGGTTGTGTTGGGGGACAATCTGGCTATTCTTTGCCACCAACCGCCTGGGCTTACCGGCCTCCTCCAGGGAGATGAGCTCAGAAGCATTTTGGCAACTTCTTGGTGACTGGGGATGTTCTCAAGGAATGGGCAGAATTTGCTGTTGGTATATCCCCAGTGACCCTATCAGGACTGGACTACTCCAATTCTGCCCACGGCCAGGCTGCTCTTCATTTTCTGTATGAGTGTTGACTTTTTTAAGTCAGAAAAGTTGCTTTTGGTAAAAAAAAAAGTCTATTTTCAGTGGTTCTTTTCAGTCACTGGGGTTAATCCAATTCTTCTTCCACTGTGTATAAATTCAGATTTCTGGGATTTATAATGGCCTCTTGTTATTTGTTTTCTAAATGTATCATGTATTTTTATTGTTCTTCTGTTCCACTTTTTGTGTTCAACAAATACTTCTAGTTTACTGTTTAACCAGGTCTAGTTATTTTCTTAGGGTTGCTGTAGTGATTGCAATATACAACTTATTTTGGTCAGGTTGATATTAATTCCAGTAAAATATAGCAACTTTGCTCCAATATACCTCTATTTCTTCCCCATCGCTCATCATCTATAATTACATCTACATATATTATGACCCAACAATACAGTGGTATTATTATTGCATTAAGCTATCTTATGGGTTTTGTTTTGGGGTTTGTTTGTGTGGTTTTTTTAGTGAAAAAATAGTATACATAGATGGTCTTTGGCATTTTACCCACCAATCTACCATTTCTGGCACTCTCTATTGCTATCTGTGGATCTGAGTTACTAACTGCTGTCATTTCCTTTCGGCCAGAAGGATTTCCTTTAATATTTCTTCTATGACAGGTCTGCTAGGAATGATCTCAATTTTTTTTTTCATCTTGGAATGCCTTTATTTTGCCTCATTTTTGAAGGGTGGTTTAGTACGTAGGCTTCCTGGTTGACAGCCATTCCACTGCCTCCTGATGAGAAGTCCGCTGTAATTGTACTGTCGGTCTGTGTGTATAACAAATTCTTTTTCTCTTGTTGCTTTCAGCAATTTGACTTTGATGTGTCTGGATGTTTATCAGACATGGGGTTTGTTGAGTTTCTTGGACCGGTAAATTAATGTTTCTCATCAAATTTGGGGAATTTTTTATCATTGTTTCTTCCACATTTTTTCTGTCGCTTTCTCTCCTTTCCTTCTGGGACTCCAATTACATAGATGTTGGGATTTGTGATCTTTGTCCCCATGTGTCTCTAAGGCTGTTTGTTTTTCTTCTTTTTTTATTCTTCAGGTTGAATAATTTATTTGAGCTACCTTCAGATGCACTGATTCTTTTCTTTTGCTGCCTCAAATATACGTTCAGCCCATGTCATGATTTTTTTTTTCATTTTGTTTATTATACTCTTCAGCTCTAGACTTTCCATTTGGTGCATTTTTTTTTATCCTCACCTGAGGACATTTTTTTTTTTTTTGCATTTATCTTCAGATAGAACTGGAGAGAGAGAGAGAGAGAGAGAGAGAGAGAGAGAGAGAGACATCGATGCGAGAGAGACACATCAAGTGGTTGCCACCCACACGAACCCAACCAGGGCTGGGGACGAACCACAACTGAGGTACGTGCCCTTAGCGGTAACCGAACTTGGGCCTCTCTGGTCTGCAGGCAGATGCTCTAACTGCTGAGCCAAACCAGCCAGGACCATTTGGTGCATTTTTATAGTTTCTGTTTCTCTCTTGAGAGTTTCCTTTTTTTTTTTTTTTGAATCATTGTCATTATGTTTTCCTTTAATTCTTTGAATGCAGTTTTTTCTTTTTAATCTTTGAACATATTTGTGATAGTTTTTTTAAAGTACTGTCTGCTAAATCCTCTGGGTCCACACAGGGTCAGTTTCTATTGACTGCTTTTTCTTCTCTTAAATGTGGATCACATTTTCTTATTTCTTTGCATGCCCAACTTTTAGTTGAAAACTGGATATTTTAGATAGTGCATGATAGCAAATATGAATTCTGATTTTTAAAAACTGTACTGAGGGGGGTGTGTGTGTGTGTGTGTGTGTGTGTGTGTGTCTGTCAAGTAACTTGCCTGGGATTTATCTGCAGGATGCGTCTTCCCAGCAGTATGTAACAGCTAATGTCTCTGTTCTACTCAGTTTTGTTTTTTTCTTAAAACAACAGAAAGTTCTTCTCTCCTAGTCCTGGAGGCTAAAAGTCTGAAATCACAGTGCCATGTGGCCATGCTCTCTCTGAAGGCTCCAGGGAAGATGTCCCCTTGCCTCTTTCAACTTCTGTTGTTGTAAGCACCCCTTGGTGTTCCTTGGCTGACCGCTGCATCACTCCATTCTGGGATTCGTCGTCACATGGCCTCCTTCCCTCCATATCCAGGTGTGTCTGTCTCTGCTCAGTTCTTAAATGTTGCTTTTGTTTTTTAGCCTGGATTCCTAGGGCTCACCTAGGGTCAGCACAGCTTGTGGTCAGTCAGTACTTTTAGCAGAGGTGATGCTCAAATGTCTTGAGCCTCTTAGATTTGCACCCTCTGCGGATAGAGCTGGGTGAGGGTTGAGAAGCACATTCCAAGTCCAGCCAGTTCTCAAGTTGGCCTCACCTTTTACTTCTCACCTCTTGGGAGGCTTACGGCTCCTCTGTGGCTCTCAGTTCCAGGACCTCTTCGGTAGATAATTTCTGATTGCTCCGCCGCTTGCTACTCTCCCCAGCTGGGACTGAACCACAGACTGTCAGAGCTGTGAGTTTTCCCTCTGTGTTCTGCCTTTCTGTCTAGTTTGCTACTTTTACTGACAACCCCTCCCCCCACCATGAGTTTCCAACTTATACCCCAATTCCAGTCAGTCCCTTACCCCCGGCAGTGCAGCTGCTGGTTTTCCTGTTCAGCTCCCCTGGTAAATCACCTTGCCCACCGAGTTAGAGGATGAGGTGGGAAGTCCACAGACTACCGGTGTTCTTATTCAAAATTCTAGCTATTTTTCACAAGTAAATGCCTGTTTGTCATTTACCTTTGGTCCATTTCCAGAACACTGATATGATTGTCCATAACAATTTTATTCAACTTAATTCTTTTTTTTTTTTTTTTTTTTTTTTGGTATATGCCCCTAGCAGGAACCGAACCCGAACTCTCTGGTCCGCAGGCCAATGCTCCAACCACTGAGCCAAACCGGCCAGGGCTATCCAACTTAATTCTTCTTTGGGGGGGACCGAATTCAGTGACTGACCACTTCTTGCCATGGAGCTGTAAGTCCCACACTCCAGACTTCCTTAGGTTGCAGAGATGTTGCCTTTACCTGGTGGGTCGCAGGTTTTCCCTTGTCCTCAGACTTGCTGATGCTCGGCTGTGATCCCAGCCGTTTGAAGTCCACTTGTCCAAGGTCCCCGTGTGCAGTAACACAGGAGGAACATGGTGAGTGTGAGCAAGGGCTAGAAAAGGGTAAATCTCCCGTCGACTCAGCATGTCCAAGGACTGTGAGCTCAGGACCGGATGAGGAGGGACAGGAAGGAAGACCCTTCATCTACACTTAACACCCGGATGGACGCCGATCTGTCCACCCGAGCACGCGGGGTGTCAGCCTACCTCAACAAGGGCTGCCAGCACGGCCAGACCATCCGGAGCGCTCTTGGCTATGTCGTAGCTACTGTATTTAGAATTGTAGTGAACAACGTGGATCTGGGGGGGCAAGAAAAAGTAGGTCAAGGGCAGGTCATACAGATTCTGAATGCTTCAGGTCTGCAGGGAAGGAGGAAAGCAAAGAAACTCCATCAAGGCCTCAGACCTCCCACACCAACGACACCAGCCTCCATGTCCCTCCATCTAGGCCACGAGACCTGTCAAGACCAGCAAGTTCTCCAAGAATGAGAAGAGCATGAGTGGGAGTCTGGGAATATGTCAATTTGAGGGCATGTCCCTGACCCCACCTCCCTCCAAGTAGACAAGCTGGCAGATCCAGAGGGACCATAGGTGGCTGCTGGGCTCTCCTGAGGTCTCTGTGCAGTGGACATGAGCCCCTTGCCCCAGGAGGCCACTGTGAGCCTGTGGTCATCCCGAGGACAGATCTAAGCAGGAGATGGAACCCAGAAAATCCAACACACAGAAATGCAGCTGGAAGTAAGGAGGGCTTGCCAACTGTTTGGGCTGTAGACTCTTGCCTGGCTGTGACTTCTGTGAGGGAGGGACCCCACCTGAACTCCCGGCACGTGGCAGTGATCAGTGCACAGTTGTGAATGAATGAAAACTGAACTCAACCTCAGGGGGACATGATTGTCACCACTGCACAGTCTTTGTGGCTGTTTTAGTAAGAGAAGGGACTGTGGGGTTTGAAGGCAGGCGGACCTGGTCGGGCCCTCAAGGTACCTCTGTCACATATCGGATTCCATCGAAGGTGTGCTCAGAGCCGCTGATCTCGGAGGACGCGCCACCCCAGTGGAAGTGCAGCTGCAGGGCTATGTACTCGACGCCAGTGGTGGTCGTCATGCGCATGGTGGGGGGCAGGCTGATCTGCACTGGAAGAGGAGACAAGGGGCAGCAGGTGGTGTGGGCAGGCGTGGATGGGTCGGGCCTACAGGTTAGGCCGCCTCCCTGGTCGCCTGTTCACTCCTGAGGCAAGCTGGCACTACAGACTGGCTTAGAATGCCGTGAGCAGTCACCCACAGTAGGAGGCGGCTGGCACACAGGGTGGCATGGGGCACGTGCACTGAGGAAGCTGGGCTGGGCTGGCACCTCTCCCAGGGCGCACACCTTCCCACCCAGAACCAGGAGGTCAGGGGCAGGCCCACAGAGGGGCAGGTCTAGCTTGTTGGCCCTGAGGGAGGGACGGGGCCCTGAGATAATGTGGCCAGTGGGAGTGGGAACCAGAGTGTTGCTTTCCACCTCTGGCCACTTTGGAATTTGCCTCTGGTGTAAGTATAGGAATCAGGGTCTCTTGGACTATTTTGATTACTTCTACTACCCAGAGTTGGCACCGTCTATAAGGCCAAGTTGAGGTCATTATCTTCTTCATGATGTAGTTAAAATCCTCCTCCCATGTAGCCTTCTAGAAATAGCCCAACTAACAGCCAGCTCCACTCCATGTACGACAGCAGCCCTGCAGGGCTCCAGCGCTCTTACTTCATGGACAAGGAAGCTGACCTGGGGAAGGTGGAAAGATGCTGAGTCACACCTTTCCCCAATCAGGGCAGAGCTGGGCCAGAACTGGGCATGGATGGATGTCACCAGTACAGGCCTCAACTTGTCTTCAGAGGACAAGAGACCAAATTCTGCAGTGTCAGGAAATACACAGACCCTTGGCTTGGCATTTAATCTGACTATATGATTATCAGTGGATAAGTCAGAATGTTAGGTTCTTGCCAACAGAAAAAATGGATGCCTCTTCTCCCTTCCTCCCCCCTCGTGCCCTGCAGTTTCTGTAGCAAGGTTGCAAGGGCGCTCTGGTCACACGACTGCCCTTCTTCATTGCACTGGCTCAGGCCTTAGAGAAATCTCTGTCTTCTGGAATGAACCAGGCAAAACGAAGACATGGGGAGAAGCACCATAGAGTGACTAAGAAAAATATCTATGAGGATATTATTTAGGACTTGGAAAGGGACAGGCCCCATCTTTCCTGTTAACAAGGTCTTTAAAGTCATCACAGACAGTTATAAATAAGTCAGTCTTCTAAAACAGCAAATATCAGGTGCTTGGTACCTGCCAAATGCTCCTTCTTCCCTTCCAACTTGTCTAAAGCATCAGGGAGCTGAGGTTACATTCCTAACGCAATGTGCTGCAATGCAGAAATCAGGCCTCCGAGATTTCCATGTGCCCTTTGGCAGGACAGGCACTTTGTATTCAGTGCTTAAAAGGTAGCCAGCCTCAAAATCAGTGCTCACACGGAAACAAATGGAAGAGCCCTTAAAAGGAGGTATGCAGAGTCTGCCATGCCAAGAAGTTGGAGAGCGAAGGACCAGGCCAGAGTTTTCTACATGGGCAGTTAGCCAGCCCTACAAGAGCAATAACAGAGAACTTGTTAAAACCCAATTTCCTGCAGACAAGGTCTCAATGATCAAGTTTGAGCAACAGGATCGCACAGGCCAAATAGAAAAAAATGACAGTAATTCTGAGCTTGTCCCTGTGCTTTTGAAAAGGTGAGGCCCAGTCTCTGTCTCCCAAAGTCAACCTGCTGCACCTTCCAGATCTTAAAAATTGATTTAACTTCCAGAAGAGATTGCTCCCCCTTGTTTGAAACTAATTTAACCAAGTTTTTATCAGACCAGAAAACCCACATGATCTAAGCATGTTCTGTGCTCAAGAAACAATGGCTTGCCCTGGCCGGTTTGGCTCAGTGGTTAGAGTGTCGGCCTGCGGTCCAGAGAGACCCGGGTTCGGTTCCCGCTAAGGGTATGTACCTCGGTTGCAGTTTGTCCCCGGCCCTGGTTGGTCGTGTGGGTGGCAACCACTCGATGTGACCCTTTCACGTCGATGTTTCTCTCTCTCTCTCGTCCTCTCTCTCCCTCCCACTCTATCTGAACAAAAAATGGAAAAATGTCCTCGGGTGAGGATTAAAAAAAAAAAAAGAAAAGAAACAACGGCTTAAGTGTCAGGGGTGTGAAAGTCAGAGACCCCGGCTGGAGACTAGGGGGATGTGGTGGGAAGTGTGATGTGGGGTCCTGGAGAGGACCCTGGACCAGAAAAGGGACGTTATGAAGAGGATGGAAACCGTGAGGACTGGAGAGCGGTTAATCGTGTTGTATCGGTGCAGCGTGGTTCTGGATGGAAAGATGTTAATGTTAGAGGAAGTGGACAAGGGGATATGGGAACTCTGTATTATTTTTGCAATTTTTCTAGACTAAATCTAGTTCAAAATAAGTTTTCAAAAATAGACAAACCCGTGTTGCTCCTGCAGAGCCTTCAAAGATCCAAACCTGCTCAGAACCTGCGTGAGTCCTGGGCGCCCCTCGGGGACCTGTCCTTCCACGCACAGATCTTTTCCCCTCGAATGCGTCTCATCTGGGCCGGGCTCTGGGCCAGGCATGGGACAGAGAGCTCAGTGAGAGATGGCCCCTCCTCTCAAGGAGCTCACGGGTGGAGGGCAGATAGCAGCTCTAGGGAGAACAGTGTTGTTTTCCCATTGAGCACTGAAAGCCCACTACCTCAGGCGTCACACTTTCTTGGAGCCTGTGAACATGTATTTGGGGGAATTAAAAGCATATATTAATCATGCCCTGGCCAGTTTGGCTCAGCGGTTAGAGGGTCGGCCCGTAGACCAGAGAGTCTCAGGTTCAATTCCAGTCAAGGGCACCTACCACAGTTGCAGTTGGTTCCAGCCCTGCTTGGGGCCATGTGGGAGGCAGCCAGTCAATGTGTGTCTCTCACATCAATGTTTCTCTCTCCCTCTCTTTCTCCCTCTCCCTCCCTCCCTCCCCCCTCTCCCTCACCCACTCCCACTCCCTCCCTCTCTCCTTCCCACCCTATCTGAAAAACAAGACAAAACATACATTAATCAGTACTGCTCCACCAACTATTACTAGTCTACAACAAAATAGAGAAACTGAGAATAAATTTAAGCAACTTATTTTATTTTATTTTTCTTTATTGATTTTAGAAAGAGAGGAAGGGAGAGGGAGACAGAGAAAAAGATAGAAATATCAATAAGAGAGAACATCGATTGGTCACCTCCTGAATGCCCACCACTGGGGATTGGGCCCACAACCTGGGCATGTGTCCTGACTGGGAATCAAACTGGCGACCATGGGTGGACGCTCAACCACTGAGCCACACCGGCCGGGCTTAAGCAACTTTTATAGCAATTTATCTCAACATCCAAAAGTGTTTTTAATTTCTTTTTATTGAAATGTAATTTATGTCTGTTTAATACTATAATAATAAAAATGGAGCACATAAAAATATAAAGTAGAATTTAAAATTAAAAACACAATACCATTTACATTAGCAACCCCCAAAAGTAAATACTCAGGTAGAAATCTAGCAAATAGGTACACAATCTATATGAGGAAAACTACCAAACTCAGATGACATAAATCAAAGAATTAAATAAATGGAAGGCTGTTATGTGTTCTTGGATAAGAAGGTTCAATATTGCCAAGGTGTCAGTTCTTCTCAACCTGATTTATAGGTTCAGTGAAATGCCAGTCAAAATCCCAGCAAGTTATTTTGTGGATATCAACAAACTGATTCTGAAAGTTACAGGAAGAGGCAAAAGACCCAGAATAGCCAATTCAATATTGAATAAGAAGAACAAAGTCAGAGACTAACACCAATTGACTTCAAGAGCAACTAAAAGACTAAAAAACAGGGCCTCAAGACAGTGAGGCACTGACTGGTTTGGCTCAGCAGTTGGAGTGTGGGCCCACGGACCAAAGAGTCTTGGGTTCGATTCTGGCCAAGGGCATTTACCTTGGTTGCGGTTTGGTCCCTGGCCTTGATCGGGGTTGTGCGGGAGGCAACCAGTCGATGTGCCTCTCTCACATTGATCTCTCCCACCCCCCCCATTCTATGTGAAGATAAATGAAAAAATATCCTTGAGTGAGGATTTAAAGAAAAAAAGAAAGACAGCGAGACATAGGTGAGAGCAGACAAACAGATCAGTGGAACAGAACAGAGGTCCCAGAACAGACACACAGTTACAGTCAACTGGTCTTGGATAAAGAAGCAAAGATGGTCTCTTCAGCAAATGGTGTTGGACATCCACATAGAAAAGAATAAATCTCGACACAGACTTTATGCCCTTCACCAAAATTAACTCAAAATGGATCACAGACCGAAATGTAAAACGCAAAACTATAAAACTTCTAGAAAATAACATTGGAGAAAACCTAGATGACCCTGAGCATTGTGATGCCTTTTTATTTATTTTTAAATTTTTTTATCTTTATTGTTGAAAGTATTACAGATGTCCCCTCTATTTTCCCCCATTAACCCCCGCTCCCACCCCCCTCCTGCTTTCCCCAAACTATTGTCTGTGTCCATGGGTTGTACATATATGCATATAAGTTCTTTGCTTTATCTCTTTCCAACTCCCCCACACCCCTTCCTCTGAGGTCTGTTCCCTACTTCCATGCCTCTGGATCTTTTTTTTTATCCTCACCTGAGGACATTTTTCTATTTTTTGTTCAGGTAGAGTGGGAGGGAGAGAGAGGAACAGAGAGAAAGAGAGAAACATCAATGTGAAAGGGACACATCGAGTGGCTGCCACCCACACGACCGACCAGGGCCGGGGACAAACTGCAACCGAGGTACATGCCCTTAGCGGGAACCGAACCTGGGTCTCTCCGGACTGCAGGCCAACACTCTAACCGCTGAGCCAAACCGGCCAGGGCTGGATCTATTTTGATTGACAGCTTATTTTGTTCATGATATTCCATAAATAAGTGAGATCATGTGGTACTTGTCTCTCTGATTGGTTTATTTCACTCAGCCTAATACTCTCCAGGTCCCTCCATGTCGTCTCAAAGGGTAGGAGATCTTTCTTCCTTACAGCTGCATAGTATTCCATTGTGTAAATGTACCACAGCTTTTTTATCCACTCATCTGTTGATGGACACTTGGGTTGTTTCCAGATCTTAGCAATTGTAAATAGTGCTGCTATGAACATAGGGGTGCATATATTCTTTCTGATTGTAATGCCTTTTTTAAAAAAATGTTTTTATTGATTTTTTAGAGAGAGCAGAAGGGAGAGAGAGATAGAAACATTGATGTGAGAGAGAAATATCAATTTGCTGCCTCCTGCACACCTCCCACTGGGGATCAAGCCCACAACCCAGGCATGTGCCCGGACCTGGAATCGAACCAGGACCTCTCAGTTCATGGGACAATGCTCAATCCACTGAGCCACACTGGCTAGGCTGATTGTGATGCCTTTATAAAACAACACCAAAGACATGGTTAATGAGAGAAATCACTGATAAGCTGGACTTTGCTAAAATTTAAAACTTCTGTTCTGCAAAAGACAGTATCAAGAGAATGAGAAGACAAGCCACAGACTGGGAGAAAATGTTTGCAAACTACACATCTGATAAAGGACTATTATCCAGAATATACATGAACTCTTGAAACTCAACAATAAGAAAACAAACCACCTGATTAGAAAATGGGCCAGGGACCTTAATAGACACTTCACCAAAGAAGTTATACAGACGGCAAGTAGGCCTGTGACAGGATGCTTCACATCGTAGGTCATCAGGGAAATACAGATTAAAATGACAAGGTGCACTGCACACCTGTTGGAACAGCCAAGAGCCAACGTCCAGAGCACTGACAACCCGCAGTGCTGGCGAAGCCGCGGAGCAGCGGGAACTGCACCCACGGCTGGTGGGAGTGCAGCCCGGTGCTGCCGCTTTGGAGAACAGCTCAGCAGCATCTTACAAAGCTAAACATTCTCTTGCAGGAGGATCCAGCAGTCACACCCCTGGGTATTACCCAATGGAGTTGAAAACGTATGTCCACACACACATCTGCACGTGGGTGTTTACAGCAGCCTTATTCATAATTGTCAAAACATGGACGCAATCAGACGTCCTTGAGTAGGTGGGCGGATAAGCGAACCGTGGACATGCAAACAGTGGAATACCATTAACGCTAAATAGAAACGAGCTATCAAGCCGTGAAAAGGCACCGAGGAACCTTCAACGCACATGACTAAGTGAAAGAAGCCGATCTGGAAAAGCCCACACGCTGTGTGATTCCAACTCTATGACATTCTGGACAAGGCAGAGCTATGGAGACAGCAGAAAGGTCAAGGTTGTCGGGCGGGGTGGAAGGAGATGACCCGCCAGAGCACAGAGCCTAACCAGGGCAGTGAAATGCCTCTGTGATATTACAACGACGATGTCATTACGTTTGCCCGACCCAGAGGCTGTGCAACACCAGGAGTGAACCCGAAGGAAACTGTGGGTTTGGGGTGATTATGACGTGTTAATGTAGGTTCATCCTTGGTAAAAAAAGAAAGAAATGTACCATTTTGGTGCGTGATGTGCATAATGGAGTGAGCCGTGCTTGCGGGAGAGGGCTGTGCTCTCCGCCTCATTTTCCCACAGACTACACCTGCTCTAAAACACAGTCCGTTAAAAGAGACCTTGGATAATATATATAAATAGGTAAGTAAATGTATAATTTATATCTTAGGTTCCAAAATACTAAAAGAACCCTGCAAAATCAAAGTTAATACATGTCTATGAACATCATGTCGACTTTATTGTTCAACTTGGTATTTATCAAAATTTCATTCGATTTCAAAATGTGCGGATTCAGTGTTTTCCCCTCCAGCAGACGTCCTGAATGTGTGTGGAGCTTGCTGAAAATGTACAGCCAGTGGTAACGAGCAGCCAATAATCTCAAAAGCTACATTATAAAACCCTTTCAAATGACTTCAGAGAAACGTGAACTGTGAGCGGATTGTTTGATTGCTATTCCTCTGAGACCCCGAAGGCACAGGCCGCTGGCCTCCAGGGGGTTCTGCGGACGTAAGGCATGGGTTTTACAGTTGTCCCGTCCAGCTTCTGAAGTGGGGGTCATCAAGACCCAGCTTTTCCTGTCTCACCTTCACTCCCTTTCTAGGAGGGAACAGAAAGCAAGAGCTTCTTTGAAGCCCCTGAGAAACACTGGGCCTGCCTGCTGGGTTCTCTGAGCTCATCAGACTCGGAGAAAATACAGATCAGACTGGCACAGAGCAGCAGAGCACGCGGGCGGGTTGGCCGTGCGGCGTCCAGTGTTGTCACTGTCCCCTGGATTTGCGGCTGGTGGGTCGAGTGAGCACAGGAGAGGCTGACAGGGACTGAGTCTAAGGACAGAGTCTGCACAACTTTGAAAGAGCCCCCTCGTTTCAAGGCCTTGACGCTGGTCAGCCCTCCAGCTCCCAGGCTGTACCCTAGACCCCCTGCTGACCCCCGTGGTTAGGAGCTTGTGGCCCGTCTCTTACCTGTGTGGCCGTTGTTGATCATGGAGAACTCGCCCCCCTGGACATCGTAGCCCGTCAGGTTCAGAGCCGGCAGGTCGGGGTTGTACCGCACCTTCTTCCTCTGCACGTTGATGGGCGACTGTCTCTTCCCCCCACAGGTAGGGTACTCCTTGGACCAGTGCTCCTCATCCAGCGCCCCCTCTGAGACAGGAGAGCACCAAGGGTGTCACAGCTCAGGGTGATGCCAGGCAGGGCCCTCCCTGGGGCACCTCACTTAGGGAGCAGGCTGGGGCCTGCAGCTCACAGCAGGGCCTGCCCAGCATGGGCCCCCAGCGGCCAGGCAGGGTGCCAAGGTCAAGGCCAGAGGTCTGCCTTCTAGAACACAGAGGCAGGGCCTCGGGAGGAAGCAGGAGGGGCATCTAAATCAACTCTTGAACCCTGGTGTCTGGAGCTGGGGCGCTGACTCCTAGCTTTGCTATTTCAACACCTGCACTGGGGACATAGTGTTATGAAAGTCTTGACTCGGCTTCTGGTTTCCCTTTGAAGGATTGTCAGGGACAAATGTATCAGGGGCTCCGTGGGCTTGGCGTCGCTGTGCTGCTCTCAGGGCCTCCTCCGGATGTCTTCCGATGGCACAGTTCCCTTCCCAGCCCCCAGCAGTGACGCGGCCCCTCACCCCCGACAACAGGACCTGCCACCTGCTTCCCAGCCCTTTTTAGTTGGTTCCCAGTACAGGGAAGACCACCTGAGTGCTTCCACCTATGGATTCAGATCAGGTTCCAAAATGAGTAAATAATTAGTTTAAAAATATCAAAGAAAGCCCTGGCTGGCATGGCTCAGTGGTTAGAGCGTCAGCCTGTGCACTGAAGGGTCTTGGGTTCGATTTCTGATCAAGGGCATGTACCTGCGTTGCAGGTTTGATCCCTGGCCCTGGTCGGGGCCCATGTGGGAGGTAATCAATTGATGTGTCTTTCTCACATTGTTGTTTCTCTCTCTCTCTTCCCCTCCCTTTCCCTTTCTCCCCCTCCCCCCTTTCCACTATCTCTAAACATCAATGGAAAAAATATCCTCGAGTGAGGATTAACAACAACAAAAAAATCTAAGTAAGGAACTGTATCTCTCTCACTAACCGTAGTGGAGAGAGTGATAGCCTCCAAACAGCTGTGGGTCTTGGCCTCACGCACCTGCAGTTGGGAACCCAAGTTCTCCTTCCCCCTGGGGTGTAGTTGCCTTTTAAGGGCACAGCTTATTTTCAGGAAGATGTTTGTGTTGGGGCCTTTCTCAGCTTCTTGGTTTTGCAATAGAAAAGACAGTTCTGCCCTTCCTATGTAGTATGCAAACCAGTTTTCAAACAATTCTTTCCTAGCCCAGCCGGTGTGGCTCAGTGGATTGAGCGTCCTCTCATGGACTGAGATGGCACATGCCCGGGTTTCGGGCTCAATCCCCAGCAGGGGGCATGCAGGAGGCAGCCGATGGATGTATCTCTCTCACATCAATGTTTCTCTCTCTCTAAAAAATAATAAAAAACATATTTAAACAATTCTTTCCTGGAGGCAGATGCCAGGATCAAGGCCAAGGTCTTGAGCACAGCTGAAGATCAGAGGGCTTTGCCCATGCCCTGCCTGCTTTGGGTGGGGAGTTCCTCAAGTATTCCCGACAGGCACTTGTAGTGGCCGCCCCCAAGTTCTCCGGGGCCCTTGGTAGCTTCCTTTTTTTCTTTTTCTTTTTTATTGATTTTTAGAGAGAGAGAAAGGGAGAGGGAGAGAGAGAGAGAAACATCAATGAGAGAGAACATTGATTGGCCGCCTCCTGCATGCCCACCCCTGGGGATTTGGCCCACAACCTGGGCATATGCCCTGACTGGGAATCGAACCGATGACCTCTTGGTGCCTGGGTCAATGCTCAACCACTGAGCCACACTGGCTGGGCCCTTGGTGGCTTTCTGAAGGCCCACAGTCTCCAAGGCCAGGCTGAGCTGAGGAGGACGACACCTCCCTGTTGGAATCCCCTCCCCCTCCCCCTCAGAGCAGTTCCACGGGCCTGTGTGGGACTCCTCTGGTCCAGAACTGAGCGGTTGGCCAGAGCCGGCCGCCCTGTCCCCTGGAGTTGGACTTTGAGTCTCCCTGCAGTGTTCCTAATTCTGTTGCTCTTAACAGGACACGTCTGCCCCGAATGTGTGCTTCCCCCAGAGTCCAGGGGTGGATTGTGCAGAGTGGGCTCCACACCGTGTTTGCTGCTGGTCCTGTGTCAGCCAGTGGACATGAGCGTCCTCTTGGGTCCCATCCCTCAGGGCAGCGCGGAAAAGATGGGGGGCGGGGAGGCAGGCGCGCTCTGCACTGACGCATGGAAGGGGTTTCGTGTCCAAACCCCACAGACGTGCTCTCCCTGTCTTTGGCTCCCACGTAGGCTAAGTGCCAGGGGCTTCAGTTTTGCATGTGAAAGTCGGGTTTCAGTGAAGTGGAGACTCAAGTGTCTGCGGGGCTGGGGCCCCCGGGGGAGGGCAGCTGGGGACTACCCGAAGGTCACGGATTCTGGGTAAACCACATCTCACGGAACCGCTGAGGAGACACTCGCGAACCCCGCACGCCTCTGTCAGGCTGCAGGCTGCCCTTCATTTCCTTTTGCTTTCCAGTCCTCACCCCAGGATGTTTCTATTGACTTTAGAGCGAGAGGAAGGGAAGGAGACAGAGAAACATCCATGTGACAGAATCACCCATCCCTTGTCTCCCTTACATCTGCTAACCAGGGATTGAGCCAGCAACCTAGGTATGTGCCTGACCGAAAATCGAACCCGCAACCTTTGGGTGTACAGAACAATGCTCCACCAGCCGAGCCACCCAGCCAGGGCTGCAGGCAGCCCTCTGGAACACCTTTGTTTTCCACTAACAGACCAAGAAAGCAAACGACTTGGCGGCCGGACACAGTGTGCAGGCTCCCAAACCTGCGCTGTGGGCAGGAAGGTTTAAGCACAAAGCTGCAGCCTGGCCGGCGTGGCTCAGTGGTTGAGCGTCGACCCTGCACCAAGAGGTCGCCGGTTTGATTCCTGGTCGGGCAAGTGCCCTGGCTGTGGGCCTGATTCCAGTGGGGGGCGTGCAGGAGGCGGCCAATCGATGTTTCTCTCTCTCTCTCCCTCTCCCCTCCTCTCTCTCTCCATAAATCAATAAAGAAAAAAAATTTTAACAAAAGAAAAGCTGCAGGTGAGCCCAAGTTCTGTGAGGGGAAGCCAGCTCCTCTGTCCTTGCTCGCAGTCTGAGTCCAGGGTGCCCTCCAGACCAGAGACGGGGAGTCGGCGATGGGCAGACCCCAGCGTAGGGACCGCACACAGTCGCACCCCCTGAAATGCCAGGCTTCACCATGGTCCTCAGAAGGGGGTGCCTGCCTCTTCACATGAGCATAACAAGGGACCCCGCAGCCCGTAGGGTGGGGGCTTACCTGAGTACGTCCACTCGGACCCGTGCTGGGCCAGGGCTCCCAGGAGGAGCAGAGACGTCAGTATTACCAGAGTCGTCATGGGGCTGCAGGTCTGGAACCAGGGCCGATGCAGGGAAGCTCTCCTTTTAAAAGCCTAAAAGCAAACTCACATTGACCGGGTCTGGCTGGGACGCCCACTGCTACGCCCACTGAACCTAGCACCTCCCACAGTGGCCCTTCTGACTCAGCTCACACGGTGAGGCCACGTGCGTGCCAGTCTCCTTCGGCGACATTACTGTGACCAGTGAGCCCATAGGTTTGGTGGTTCCATGAAGGGCCATGCAGGGCAGGCTTTGTGGCCGGGGAGCCGGGGAGGGACAGGCCCAAGGCAGGGAGAAGCGGAGTGCAGGCTCTGCTGGAACAGTGGTGCTTCCTTGCTCCCACTGAGCAGCACTCTGGGGCTGGGAAAGGGCATCACCCGGGCCTGATGATCCTTGTCAGTCCCACCTGGCATTTCCTGTCTGTCTCAGCAACTGTCACCAGCCACCGCTGCTGACTGTGGCAGCCCTTAGCCAGCTACCTTGGGGAACGAGCCGCCCCCACACGTGGGCATAGGATGGAGGCTCCCGACGGAGGCAGTCTTGTCTTATCCTCACGGAATCCAGCCTCTGGCCCTGAATCCCCAGCTGATGAGCCATGTCCCAAGGTGCGCCTCGGCCACCAAGCTGCCGTGGGCACTCGGGTCTGCCCATGAAATGCGTTTGTTCTGACGGCTGTGGTGAGTGAGCTCCGTCACACCCAGACCAGTGGAACATGTCACAGCAGCGGACTGCCTCGTCCTGCGTCCGCCTGGGCAAGCAGCCCTTGAGCTTAGCTGAGGGAGGAACTGGAGTTGACACCCGCTGACAGGCTAGCGCTTCACATGCCCTTCGGAGAGGGCACAGGCAAAGGGCAGCACGGTTCTGTGGCAGTAGACAGAAAGGACCGTCCTGTTCCGGAGAGCAGAGCTGAGCCCTCACCTCCTTGTCTCGCTGCCAGCCTCCCCGGAGTGGGAAGGGCAGCGCGGTCCCGTGGACTCGGCACGGGGAAGGGCAAGGACTCTGGGGCCAGCTGGCTGCGCAGGTCCCCGCTCTGCCACTGACTAGCTGTGTGGCTTTTGGCAAGTTACTCCACCACCCTGTGCCTCAGTTTCCCCATCTTAATAGGATTTGGTGATGTGCCTCCCTCCTGGGGATTAACAACAGATTTGTGTGTTGTACTCAGAGCAGCAGCAGGGATGTGGCAAATGGCACTTATATCTGTTCAGACCCCTCATTCTATGGAGAAAGGACCTGATTTATCATTGTCACCCAGTCTGTTAGTAAGAGAATTAGAGGCAAAAATGAAGGACTCCTTCAACTCAAGGAGCTCTTTTCCCCATTTTTGGAGTTAGAAGCCCACTCTCCAGTCCTCGCTGATAAGTCACCCCCTGCCCGCTGGGCCCGGCCCTGCTGAAAGGCCACCACCGTGTGGACCCCGCGAGAGCCCCCACCCCTGCTGAGGCCAGCAAGGATGGGCACCGGCCCTTAGGCAGACCAGGGACCCCGACATCCCACTGGCGGGAAAGCACAGATTGAGCCCTCAGTGTTTTCCCCTGGGAATCAGACAGAACCAGGGAGCTGAAGCCTGCAAGGTCATGATGCGGGGAAGCCCGGGGGCTGGGCTCTGCAGAGCGCAGGGAGGCTGGACGAGGGGGAGCTTGGAGCCAGCCTAGCCCGGGAAAGGGCACCGAGCGGGAGGAAGGGCCGTGGGCGCGACAGGGCGCAGGGACAGATGTCAGAGAAAAGAGGGCTCCGGGAGCGGGACCCACACAGGCCAGCGCTGGGGAGAGGGAGAGTGTCCCCCTACCCATGGCTCCCTGCTCTGGGCAGCCCAGGGAGCCCTGGTGCCTTCCCTGCCCACCACGTCCTCACAGTAAGTGCGCGGTTCCCTCTGTGAGCCTGTCATTTCAGCAGCTCCGCCATGGAGCTGGGCTGCAACATATTCATCCCCAGGCCCGAGGCTTTGCCCCGGTTCTCTGTGCCCTTGGCTCAAGCAAGAGTCTCAGCTGGCTGATAATCTAGCTAATAGGTGCCTAGGGTCAGTAATTAAGTTATTAAGCAATCAGACCAGCCAGGCCCATAATGTATAAGTCCCATCGCTAATGAGGACACATGACTAAAGAAAGAGGGGCCCTCCCTCTGCTGTGTAGCATGCTCCGACGACACAATCCCCACAGAGTCAGGCAGGGTCCCTTCTGTTGCCCACTTTCTAACTCACTGCCTTCTTCAACCCTAACATTTCCCATTCACTTTGCACACGAGTTTCCTTGTATCTGGGAGGCACGTCGTGTGTTTAGTTTGGTTGGGGGTATTGTTTTCTGTGTCACGTAGACTCTGAACTGACCTCTGCCACCATCCAACCACATATCCCCAGCTCATCAAGACTGTATCTCAGTCTAAGCTCCTGTTCTTTCTGGGGCCTGTGGTTGGGGTGGCTGCCCATGAGACGAGCTGACAAGCGTGCCGTTCCGTCACAGCAGAATGTCAGAGTGAGAAAGGAGCTTTTGTTCTCCCTTGGTGCCTCCGCAGCTCCATGACGAAGGCCCATTGAGGCAAAGAAAGAGAAGAGGACAGGAGATGTGGTCAGCCCAGGTGAGCAGAGAGGTTCTGGCAGCCAAGATAAACAGGGAAGCATCATCATCCCAGGGAACAGGGAAGGATGATCATCCCAAGTAAACAGGCAGGGTGACCAGCCCAGGTGAGCACGGAGCCGTGTCAGTCCAGGGGAGCCCGTGCTCAGGTTTATACAGGACTGGCGTAGAAGAATAAGTGGCCGCAGAAGAACATGTACATTTTCGCTCTAAAACATACACACAGGACATTGTTCTGTTTCATTCAGGAGCTGCGGGATCAGGAAGAACGAGTCTGCACAAGCAAGTTTTCTAGGTGGTTAAAGGCTCAGTTCTATACAAGCAGCAAGACATTTAGTCCATTTTGGAGTAAAGCTTCTGAAATATATCACAGTCTTTCCTGCTTTCTATTTTTTTTTTTTTAATCCTCACCCGAGGACATTTTTCTATTTTTTGTTCAGATAGAGTGGGAGGGAGAGAGAGAGAGAAAAACATCGATGTGAAAGGGACACATCGAGTGGTTGCCACCCACACGACCCAACCAGAGCCAGGGACAAACTGCAACCAAGGTGCATGCCCTTAGCGGGAACCGAACCCGGGTCTTTCTGGGCCACAGGCCAACGCTCTAACCGCTGAGCCAAACAGGCCAGGGCCTTTCCTGCTTTCTTAAAAAGATAAATCTGAATGCAGTTAAACTTCTCTTAATGATTGAGGCCCATTAATGTGAAAATTATTATCCTGTATTATCATATATTGATACCAACAGGGCCCATAATTATATATGGCTATCTCTCACAGGAAATAACCCCTGTTACTATTTTTATTTTTTATATCTGATATTGAGGGGGAGGAAGTTAGCTCAGTTAATAGAGCAATGTACACCCATGTTCCTAGGAGATATTCAAATTATTAACACCCATGACTAATCAGAACAGAAGTGAGACTTGGTGCTGTGGTGGGGTCCAGAAGCCCCTGCACTGCTGGGAGTGAACCCTTTGGTTGGTGAACTGAAGGAGATTGGGAGACCCAGGGCAGGGCTGGGCAGCAGGCACCTGGAGGTAGCAGCGTGTTTATGTTCACTTTTGATAGCCAGTATTGCCAACATAGGCTGCCAGCTGCTGCCTCTTAGGATTATCTGTTTACCTCCCCTCACCTCCTGGCTTCTTAGTTGCCCTAATTTTATCTGTTTGCCCAGGAATCAGATGGCCACACTCTCAGAGCTACCTACACAAGAAGAATGAATGGAGCGAAACTGGGAGCCCAGCGGCTGCACTAAAAGCCGAGTGTGAGTGACATGAGCAGCAAGGCGATGGGAGAAGGCATCCTGGTCTCTCCCCTGAAACTTACAACAAGTTGGACAACTATAATTCAGCCAAGAATTCCCTGCTCAACACAAACATGGCTGAGAGGTGCGCGCATGGAGACATCTGAAGGTGGGTGTATGGGAGTGAGTGGGGGAGGGAGGACCGGGAGGACAGGGACAGAGCTGCAGACACAGCTCGGCACTGGCAGAGCCTGTAGCAGTGGAGGGTGAGACTGCAGCAATCACTCAGCAACCCAGAGAGGATGGAGGGCCGGGGTGGCATCCAGCCTGAGTGATGGGGGCACAGGGGCATCAAAGGTGAGGCAGCTGTGGCTGGGTGGAGGTGTTGGATTACAGCCCTCACTCAGCAGGCCAGGTCACAAAGCCGCAGAAGCTCACTCTAGTCTGAGTGACCAGTACACATTTTGCTAAACCCAGTGGAACAAACGAAGTTGCAGATGCGAGAACCCATTTCCCTCCACCCACCCACTGTGCAGAATCCAGTTGAGAGACCTGGGACACGTCCGCCAGCACAGCACAGCTGGTGGCTTCCGGCTGCAGGAAAGCAGCGCTGGGAATCCACCAGCTTACAGCCCCATTGCCCTTCTCATCCCACCAAGGGGGGGTGCCCCTGAGGCATCCAGTCACAGAGGGAACGCCCACCTCCTTGGGGAATGTGGGGCATTGCCAACAGCCCAGGTAATAGTGCCCCACTGAGGTCCCAGAAGCCCCAGTAGGGCAAGTAAAAGAAAACAAGAACTTGGGCTATACCACCATCTGCTGGGAAACAAAAGAGAGACCTCTACTTATCAACCTGCTAAAATGTTTAAAGCAAAAAACAGTACTTAAAAGGGAAGATTTCAGTCCCTCAAATGACCAGGCAGAGAAAGAATCCATTGAATACCATGAAAAACCAACATAATAAAGTAGCTCAGAAAGAAAATCAAAAGTCTCCAGAAAACAAGTTCAAAGACATGAAAGACTGTGATTTAAAAACAGAGCATTCAAGATTGTTGTTCTGAAAACACTCAAAGAGATACAAGAAAATCAGAAGGGCAGTTCAGTGAGCTCAAGAAAAAAATCATTGAACAAAAGGAGTACTTTACCAGAGATATTGAAAAGGAACCAAACAAATTCTGGAACTAGAGAAGTCAATAAATGAGATGATAATCAATTAGAAAGCTTAGG